AAGAGTTTTTAGGCGATGAATGCCAGAGTCAATGTTTAACCGAAACGTGATCAGTTGAATTCAAAACTAAAGCTAGTATCAAACGACGATTGGTAAAAAAAAAGTTTGAATTTTTTTCTGGGTCTTAGCGTAAGAGAAAACCCAGATAGGACACGACTTACTTCCTCTTCTTTCGCGGATCCTTTGTAGTTCGCTTCTTTTTGTTGATGACCTCTTTTCAGTCTGTTTTCAGAAGCGACTTTGTATTTCCTTCTCGCGTTGCTCTTCGCCAGAAACTCGCCTTTTTACTTATGCCCTTTATTGCTCTCTTTCGCGTTCCTCTCGCCGTATTCTGCCTATTTTGGCGTCCTTTGTAACTTTCTTGCGCGATTTTCTGGACTCGCTTTACGCCGTTTACTTGTTGCTTCTTTGGTCGCTGTCTCTTTATATCCAGCCTATTATCAATTAAAACCCTCTCTCCACGAACTTGAATTATAACAATTTCCTCCGGTTGACAAAGCTTAAACTCTGCCGGTATTGTTGTCTTACGAGTTGTTTAGAAATTGCAAAATACTGAGAGTTACTGTTCAACTACATCCTGACCAGTTTGATTTCCCGCTCAAGACGCGGGTGGCAAATTTCATCTACTAGCTCACGTGAAGCCCTCGTGCAATGCCTAACCGTGTGCCCGCGGTACGCTACACTGCAGCTCGATGCTCGAGTATTCGCACTTTATCGTCATCTGACGGTGTCTCTTGCCGCACACTAATGGGGTATCCAAGTTACGCACGCAATCGCGCCTGCTGTTACGGGAAAATTTACCGATTTTCCCGTGTGTGTTATTCGGAACATATTTATTCGTAAACTTTCACATTTAACCATTTCAAGTCCTTTCATTTTAATAAATCAAAAAATGAATAAAAAAAAACCACAGTGGCTTTTGAATAGATTTTTGTTGTTACTCACTTTCATCATATTCACCTGCTTGTCGGCACTTTTGTTATTTATTACATCGTTTTTTTTAGGTAAATATAAGTGTTAATGGTCTTTATGGAAACATTGGTTTTCATGGTAGATAGCAGCTGAGTTTAAACGCGTAAATCTAATTTCTTTTCATGCAATGGTTTCCAAACCAATCTTGTATAAATAAGCAGAAACTTTTAATTGCTTTTTCGTTTTTTTTATTTCCTGAGCTGCGCTACTGCAATTAAGATAGGTATTGTTTTCTATACCAGAGCTGTAAATTCGCACCTAGGTTTCCTACTTTAATGGCCTAAAGTTTATTGCATCCGTCTTTTTTAATTTTGAGATTCTTTCCGTCGTAGAAACAGATGGAATATTTAAGTAGTTTTTGTTTAGTTTCAAAGAGACTTTTTTTCCGCTCCTTTGTGTCCCTATTCAAATATTGCGATTTGTGTAACAATAACACTTCGCACCAGTTACTTCTTAAGCAAGTACCTTGTACAGCTTTGATGATTACAAACTAGAGTATGCTAGAGGTCATGTCGCTTGTTGGCCTGACCTAGAATAAAAGTACTGTGGAACCAAAGATTGTCTTATCCTTGACGTCCGTATAAGCTCGCTCGAAGTAGATCTCCGTGTACCAGGAAATCGTGACGAGTTTCCGTTCTCGCTGCCAAGTCGTCTCTACAGAGTTAGTTCCCCCAGTTGTTATTGTGCCGTCCGCGAAGATTCAGTTCCCCAGTTTGGGGCGGAAAAACTTTATCGTCACACTGCGCATTACGTTCTCCCCGCCCTTCCATTACGTTATGGCTAAGATAGTGCCCGTGGTACAGTTGGCCGCGCATGCTAAAAGTAGCACCTTGTACGGTCGTACGGTCGTACGGTCGTACAACCAAATGTTTTTGGCTTGATGGCTTACTACTATTTCGAATAGTTATGGGGCTACGCTGGAGCTCCGCTATTAATCTGATACCTTCCCTACTGTGCTACAATTTGTTGTGAACTCTGAGTTTAGCTTATTGTTATCCTGGTTTAATCAGAATCATTGTTAACAATAACCTTGTTAACAATGACAAGACTCAGGTACCACCCTTGAGGCCATGGTCACATAAATACAACATTGTTCTTAACGGTATTGGAGTAGGGACCTAAGAATCCATGAAAATTCTTGGGGTTACACCGAATAAAGTTTTATCTTTTTAGGGATCATATATTGGGGTAACTCAAGAAGGGATACGCCAAATCTTCAGCGCTAAGACGCATTTATCGTTTTGTTCTAGCTGAGGTTACAATAGGTCTCTACAATTCTTTTGTTTTGCCGCACTTAGAACACTGCGGTTCCCTTTTACTGGGTGTGGGCAAAGTGTAAGCAAGTCGTCTTGAGGAAGCTAACTTTTACTTTTTTTTTATTTAGGTTACGATAAGACTATCTGATATCATGAATTACCTGGGATTGTAAACATGAAAACTCTAACACGTAGGAGGATTTGCAATTCGCCTTTGTTACTTTGAAAATCTTTATTCTGCAACGGACCTGGGTACTCGAGTGACTTTTTTATTTTTTAGTTTAGCTTTAAACTTGAGAGATAGTGGTCTTAATCTTGGCATGACAAGGAGTTTAAGCTTTTTAGAATTGATTCCTCTAACACTCGTTTGTGGTTAGGTTGACCCTTCTTTATTTACTTTTCTTCTCAAGTTGTTACAATGGGAACTAGCTTCAATATATAGCTTCAATACACTGCGGATGACATTTCTAAGCCGTCAATCTTCTTGTGTCGTCATCGTACCATCTCAACTAGCGAATCACGCTTGACTACGTATTATAGTTCCCACATACTGAGAAAGCAACTTAAGGTTGTCTACGCAGTTTTCATATCTTTACGGTTGAGATCGGCCAGAACAGAAACGAGATCGACAATATAAAAAATTACAAATAACCTTGGTGTAGAGTATTATTTATACCTGAAAGTGTATCTTAAGAGAAAATCCCCTTTAAAGATTGTTACATAACAACATGTTGGTCACAAGAGTTAAAGAAGAAAGGCGCTCACAAGTACCGCCCCCAAATTACTTTTGGTTGCGAAACATGAGGGGTATCACCTGTTTACCCTTAAATTACCTCTGGGAACACGAAGGTGTCGAACGCGACCTATTACCAGGGAGATTTACTCTTCCTGGACTAACAAATTAACTTATTTAAGAATATGGCTTATCACGAGTTCCATATCAACCTCACGATCACAACGAAGAAAACGTGATTAAACCCACTAGGAGAACGTGGCCAAACTCACAAGGAGAACGTGATTAAACTCAACCTTTAAGATAAGACCACCAAGAAGGAGTACGAAGTAATCAACCTGCCCTTTTTATAATTTACATTAAATGACTTAGAATAAAATAATATTTCCATTCCTTTTCTTTCCAACACCAATACAGGAAACCCTTACTATTATGTAGATTAACTATGATTGTAATTTTATCGTTTAACAATCTTAACTGGATTAACAACTATTTCACTTACCAAGCCGCAAAAATCTGGAACTCAGTTGAACTCGATGTAAGAAAAGGAAAACTACCCAACCCTGCGACGTCGATTAAGAATAAATAATTTTAATTCCTTTTTTTTTTTTTTCAATCTCGTATACTAGAATCAGCTTGAATTCATTCCATTCTTACAGTAATTTTTAATCGCCTCAATCCTCATAAATTGACATTTGCAATTGTGTATGTTAGCCTTTTCTTGATAAACCTGGTTGTTGTACACATATAATATATTTTTAATTCTCTATTGATTCTCTATTCTCTCGTTTAGGGTCATTTTAGGTTAGCACGTACGTATTTTGAACGAGCGTTCCAGCTCACTAGACGCTATGAAAATCTGTTCTCTAGAGCAAATTTGATGTCAAACTCACGGTGTTTTTCATAGCTTAGTCAAGTATAAAGGTGAAAATGATTCAAAAAGGCCAAATTTCCCCACTCGTGTTTAGTTATTTTTAGTACTAAAGGCAATGACTGTAGTTTGATGACTTTCGTAAGACGTGGTTCAGTTAAAAATAGCAGGGGAGGCACTTGAAAAGAACCGTTTAATTCGATTCTGTCTCTTTTCTATTCTTCGCTTTCGCTGTCTGTTAGTCTGTTTCGAACTCGTAGTGTATGAAGTCTTCATCACCGTTTTCTTCTCTAATGCCACTTTTTTCCCTCACTGTCTCGTCTTCGGGTCTAATCGAGAGCATTTTAAATGTCACAGGACTTGGAGGACTGCACTGTCGACTCTGCTGGAATTTTCTTCCATGTTTCAAACCGTTCCTTGCTGCAAAACGGGAAGAGAAGCCGCAAGGAATCAAAGCAACATCGACCTTTCGTCGCGCTAGCAAATCTTACACGGGTTCGGTCAGGTGGCCGCGGAAGGATTCCCACACTGAAAGCGCTTCTCCTCTACTGAAAACCTCATATTCTTGAAAATCCGCTCTTAGCGCCTAAGAAAGAAAATGAAATGTACATCAGAGTTGTTGCCAAAGCTGATATATACGAAAGTTCTATAAAAAGTACGGCTATTTTTAAGAACCCGGAACTCTGATACGATTGAAAATATCGTCACGCTGTAAAGCACATGTACAGTAACGTGAGAGCAACTTTTAACTCTTTGCCATCTCCTCTCAAAGTACGTGACGTACCCTTGGCTTAAATGAGCAGATGAGAGTTCAAGACTTGTTCGAAAGTCAGATAAATTTCGATATCTTGAGATTTAACGATTTCTCCCTTAAATACGTGACGCGTTGGCATACGTGACGCGTGATTTTTTTAGGATACTTGTATGAAACGACATAGAGAAACTCTCGAGAAAAATTTGACAAATTGGCCCGAAGCCTGTTCAATATGGAAATGTTGCACGGAGATTGGAAGCTAGGAAACCGCTGAAAGCCGTTGCAAGAGGATCCATTTTGAACCCTGGTCAATTCTAGCAGCAGGGGGTAGGGAGAATTCGAGAAAGTTATAGAAACCCTTATTTATTTATTTATTTATTTATTTATTTATTTTTTGCATTTAATTTTATACAGTTTTTCTCGTTGGAAGCAACGCCGTCCTTCCTGATGTGGGCTCCTGTACTTTCATGGAGTACTTCTGCAGTACTCGTAAATGCAATGGTGCTTTTTATAAAGCATTTCAGAAAGACCCAAAGGCAGATTGTGCGTAAGTGATTTAAACGGTGGCGGTTCTTAAAGATGTTAGTATGCTGGATATCAAAACAGCTGTTGCAACACATCTGTTGTCGTTGCATTTTTTTCCAGGTCTAATTCATTTCTGTAGTTTGTTATTTCCCTCATTCCTCTTTACCCTCAGCCATCCTGATTTCTTTGGTTGGTTATTGTCCTTTTTAATTTTTCTTGTTTTTCAAATGGCTGGTTTTTTCTCTTTCTTTCATTGTTTACTTTTTTGGAATTGAAGACCGTTTTCCGCGTCGAAATACGTCAAAACATCGCAGCTCGACTTTGACCTTGATGGTTTCTGTTTTGTCCCTACAGCGCGGTGTTCAGCAAAATGAAAGATTGTGTGATCAATGTGATGAAGTTTTGTAGGAGAGACCAACTGACCGAAAGCCAAATCAAAGACATCATTGACGCCATCGTGAAGAAAGAAGAAGTTTGTGACAAAGGTCGTTTGGGACTCCCCATTATGCCAGCAAGTATTAATCCTTGCTCGGCATCATTTAAAAATGATGTAACCATTTGCGTTGGATGCCTTCGACGAACAGTTATCAAGGACAAATCAGATCCAGCTCTTTGCTCGTAAGTCAAATGAACATGCCTTTTATATCTTCGATTGGAAGTGGAGTGAAATGAGCGGAAGGGGGGAGGGGGGGAGTATAAGTTAATGCTTGCTAGCTTTTGTGGCTTCGCTATCCCTACCTGAAACAGGGGCGATTGATGTTGAACCCAAATTCACACCAACTAGGCAAAAGACAGAATACCTATCAAACCGGGTAAGATACACAGCGTTTTTACACAAATTGAATGTCGCATCACAACTTTGTCTTCAATTAATGTGATCCCGTTCTTTCCCTCTTCTTGATTCCTATCATTGGATTTTTATAAGTATTGCTGCTAATCCAATTAAAGTTCCAATCTGTAATCTGTCATGGTAAACCCCCCCCCCCCCCTCGAATTTCGTCATAATTGTCTGACAGCTCGCCTGTATTCTTTTGTATTCCTGATCGGGTGGGAGAAGTGTGGGAATTTAGTGTATTCCTCAATGACAACCCACATTGACCGACCGAGGGCCGAACACTTCCCTCTCCTTATAGAAGCCAGCGCGCTTAACAAAGTGCCACCTCTTCACTCTTTAGAGGGCTTTCACTTTTTCAAGTAATCTTTGTAAATTATTTATTTATCAGAGAATATGCTGAAACAAAGAAGTGTTTAAGGGACCTGATCGATTCTGACTGCAACCACCCAGCCGAAAGCAAGAAAGAGTTCTTGGACCTGTATTATAGTGTCTACAATCCTTTCTGCGCGGACAATCGGGACCCTGGGGCGACTAAAAATGATTCTTGTTATGGCGTGCTGGATGTTAGTGCAGCCGCGGGAACCGCCGGAACCCCTTTAGCTTTAGGTGTCTACAATCCTTTGTGCGCAGACAATCGGAACCCCGAGGCGACCAAAAATGGTCAGTGCTATGGCGTTAGTGCAGCCGTTGGAACCAAGCTCAGTGTATTCCTAACGCTAATGTTTGCTTTTTTTCCGTTTTTGTTCCTCTTTAAAGCTTAGACGGTTTAAACATCTCGTTTATCTTGATTTACAGAACCCGGAATTTCTAGTCTTATGGGTTTAACTTAGAAAAGAACAAAACAAAACACACACACACAAAAACAACAAGAACAATGAACATGTAACATGATCAAAGAAGTGAAGTTCACGTTAAAATCTTAATTAGCAACAGTTTAGAAAGTTGCGTTTCAGTAAAATGTTTGCTTTAATTTTTTGTTCTTTCATTTTTTTCAAATAATAAATGTTCATTGATCGAAGGGCTTCTTGCGAAACAACTATCAGATTGTGTTTTGTGATTGCTATATGGAGTCAAATTTGGCAACTTTTGTTGAAGTCTTGTTTAATTTGATTTAAGATTTTTTCTTTGAGAATTATACTTTTGTGTACAAGTACACTTTTTTTCGTACGATTGTTGCGTGCTGTATCAGAAGAAAATCCGATCTCAATTTTTTCTAATGGCTTACATGTCCGTTTTGCTTTCCTTTCATTTGCTAGTCTCCCAAGTCTATTAAGATAATGCACATGGTCTTCCATGAGAGCTTTAACAGGCGGCACAATAAATATAGTAACCGGTTTGTTCTAGAGGAGAGAGGCAATGGATAACTGGCGCTTTTAGAATAAGCATGCATATATTCGTGCCAAATATCAAAGTGATTGAAACCCTTCTTCCGCGACTTGTTTAGAGCAATACCAAACCCGACTAACATTATTGAATCAGTAATCTCAAATCCCTCCGTTGTCTTGATTCCAAGTAATATTTCTTCTTTTATTTTCGGTCAGTGATTTCGAGGAAATAAGTAGAGAATATTGCTTGTCTGTAAAATAACTTCTCACGTTTTACGTCACTCACCTTTATTTAATCCAGCATGCAATTTATTAGCTACAAAAAAGAGTGTTTTAATGGCACTGTCTTGTATCTATAAACTGTGTGAAAAGAAACTGAAGTAAAGTTGCCTCTGGAAAGCATAGAGTATTTTTTTCCAAGAATCCCAAAGCGTTATCTCTTTTCACGCGAAGTGCAAGATAGCTCTTTGACTGCAAAAACAATTTAAAGAAACATGAAGAGCAGTTTTCCTTTAATAGCTTCCCAGAAAATAAGTTTCTACTAAAGTAGTGGGTTCATAGTATTTCAAGGAGGAATATTTGTTCAACAAAGGGTTATCGCACTTGCAATGCTCATTTCGAAAGGGCATAAATCATACCAGAACAACGAGCCAACTGTGGCTTCTCTGCAAAAATCTTACTCTAAGGTGACAATAACACGAGGGGAAACTCTGAGAAAATGAGAAAAACCGAGCGGAGGAAAATCGAGACAGTACCCTCAATGAACCCTGTCACGCAGACTAAATTATCACACGCAGAAAACACATTTCAACACTTGAATTTCGTCATCTAATATTGATGCGTGTAGACAAATACTACACGTTTAACGCCTCAAAATAAATGCACGTTTAATTAATTTCTCGGAAAGACGAATATTTAGATGTGAAGATGTGTAGATGTGATTCGACTTGAAGTTGATAATTTGAAATATAAATATCTAAGTTCAAATATAACAACGAAAAGAATGACAAAGTTACATCAAATAGAATAACAAGGTCCATCAGTAAAACTCAAAAGCAACACGGCGCCAGCAAACACTCAAGAAACGACTTACTTAGTTGAAATCTAGTAGCAATGAAAATTATCAATGAGAATTATTCAAAGGAAATAACGAGCATACTGCAGCTGGCGAGAAATAAATCGCTATCGGACTTGCTTAATTCTTACATAACCTCACGCAAAAACGCGAACTTAATTGAATGGAAACAGAACATCACAGTGATTCAATTGTAAGAAATACAGTAGAAAAACATTTCGCAGTTATTTGACAATAAACACAATTGCAAATTATAAGTTGCCACAGTACGGATTGAGGTTTAGATGTGATAAATTGAAGCCTTCAGCTGACGATATTCAGAGTTATATATACTTAGATAGAAAATAAAGCACAGTGTCGGCTTTTGATAGGTGTATTATCACAAGGTGCAGTGCATTTTGTGCCTCATTGACATCGAGGCCAATGACACTCATACTGTTGAGTCATGTAAGAGTTAAGATTCATTTGAGCCAGGGAACTCAGTCACGTCTGACAAAGGATTTGAATTTGAAGATTTTCGGTTGTCAAAGAAAGATGCTTAAACATCCCCCATTCATGAGATACAAGGATCAGTTGGATCCAACTGGTCCAGATGAGAAGGATGAAACTAGGTAATTTCCTTTCCTGCCCATCCATGTATACAGGGCGAGGGAAAAATAAAATATATTCAGTATTTAAAGACAAGTTTTTCCTTCTATTTTGGCTGAAAATGTTTAAAAAAAAACAAAAAACGGATGGTACTCTTCATTTCAATTAAGGCCTCCTTGTTCTTTAGTATTTTTAATATAAGAAAAGAGTTCAAAAGCAAACAAGACACAGTAGGCTGTGTTGTCACCTCTAAATATCATGCAGAATATTTTTAGTCATATTGATAAGTTTCTAACTCCTTGCTCTACACAGATCAGTGAATATTTAACAATTATTCACCGAAGTCGAGGTAAATATCCAGGTCTCTCTTTGACATTGAGATGAATAATTATTGAGTATATACCCCACAGAAACCAACAATTTGTTTATTTCTGTCGATAGACCAAAAATAGGTGGGAAATTAAACTCTTGACGTATAATTTTTGTTTCTTCGGCTGCATGGGGGTGAATGTGGAGCTCGACAGAGCCGGAATTCTACATGACTGTGGCCTGAATATTGTTTATAGGTCTAGATATCGGCATGACAAGAATTGGACAAAAAAAATTGTGTGGACTGAAAAAAAAAACAACAAAAAGAACCTTTAAATCAATGTTTATGCGAGAGCTTAGAGTGTTTACATTCCGCAGGCGTCTAGGGCTAAATGACCGGGAGCCGGTCAAGATTTTAATGCAACTAAGTGACGGACAGTCGGAAATCTTTTCTTAAAAAATTCAACTAATTGAGGAGGTCTCAATAATCCCAATCATTATACGTCTATGACTAGAGGAACTTCTCGGCGTTCCCGAGGAGATTCATAAATCGCTTGTCTAACGCTCAGTTCACGCTGGTCTCCAGGCCGAAGGCGAAGGCTGAAGCAGTTAAATCAGACTCGTGGTTTGATAATTCATTACATCATTTGAAAACCGAATTCAATAATTTTTTTTATCATGCATTTGCTAAACAATCTGCAAAAGAAAACACTTCTCTCTGACTTTGCAAACGTTTGAGAACAATACACAAACGAGGGGCTTGGAAACTAGGCAGACTATGAACTCGACCTGATAACCCAATATTTGCGGCACGAATTGAGTTATCATGTCGACTTTACACGCTATTGTAGATTGACTGTATGTTCTCAACCAATCAGAGTTATTGTTAATTTGATATTATAATCTTCTAATCTTGAATATCTTATAGAAACTCTGAATGGTAGGTAGCGATTTACTGGCTAAAAACCAAAAACCGTAGGATATATATATATTATTTGCATGTGTAATTAGAAAATTTATTATTGTGAAGTATTGATCCAAGAAACGTCCCATTAGTGATGCCAGCGTCTGGATTATAGTAACGATACAATCGATGTTCTGTGCTGCGACTCACTCGAACTAAATGTGCTTAAACCAAGTAATTTATAGCGAAATAATTTACAGCAATATGATTTATAGCAAAATGATTTATAGCGAGATAATAATGTCGATCTAGAAATTAGTGGTTCCCCCTGCTAGCACTTGGATAGCCTCCTGGTCCGGTTTATCATCAGTGCCCTCGTCCGAGCTTGACTCTTTAGTGCTTTTTGTTTTTGTTTAAACCGTAAAACACCTCTCCAGCCAGCTCTTTTGAAATTAGTTTTTCGAGAAGCAAGCATGCCCTCTGTTGTAAACGCTTCTCCTTTAATATTTTCGCCTTTTTCTCCTCATTTTTTTTTTCTGCGCGATTTCGGATCCTTCTCAATGCGAGAGGAAAACTTCCTTTTCAGGTTTATTAGAGCTGTTGTCAGCTTATTTGAGGCCTCGCGAAATCTTTGGCGAATATGATTTTGTAATATTTGTCGATGACAATTTCACAATAAACCCTCGGTTACGCAAGGAGAAAAGTTTATCGGTATATTTCATAGCCAATTTCATAGTTATTCAGACAAAAACCTTCATTTCTTTCGAATTAGCATTGCCAAAATCCATTTCTGATTAAACTGCGTCGAAAAATTATTGAACTCTGGCCAAAATCGTTTCCAAAACAACCCTTCGCCACAAATTTTCTTCCATCAACCTGCAACATTTACCACTTGGCGGTCCCAGAAACCTTTGCGCAGAACACAAGGATCCGATTGCTAGTAACTCAAACATTTGACTCATCCCGAAGCGGATATAGGGTGGAACTCTTAACTGATCAAAGTCTGAGAGCAGATCAACTCCTTAAGGAACAGGATCAAGATGATTTTCTTCAGCATTATATTTGCCTCTGGCAAGTCAATTCACCTTTGTAATCAATTCTCAGATTATTATCGTTGTTTTGTGTTTCTGGTGCAAAACATTTGCAGATGGGCATATAATTTAAACAGAAGCTATAAATGTGCAAACAAATAAACGGAACCTTACAGACGCGTTTATCTGTGTGACATTTGTCTCATTAATGCTGTTGGCTAATTTTCAGTCCGTCTGATGATTTCAATATTTCCGATGGCTTCGTTTCTTATTTTTCATCGAGTCTTAACTCTTCTTCAGCAGAGTATGTACAAGGTTTGTCGCCTTGCGTGTTTTCCTAACTCGCTTGATTGTCTATTTCATTAAAAAAGTTGGCAGTTACCTTCGTTGATCCCCTGGCATTTTAAAATTTAACTTGTTAAAATATTCTTTCAGAACTTTTGTTAAAGCACTCGCGAGATAACAAATTGGAGTAATTTTTGGTTAGTTATTTCTAGGAAACGAGCCTTAAAATGGCATGTCTGAACAATCATTCACAAGTTTTTATTAGATTAAGCCGTTTATTTAAATTCAGCATGCAATTTATCATCTACAAAAAGAATCTTTTGATGCCACAGTCTTAGATCGTTACATTTCGGGTGAAATCACCTGAAGTAAAGGTACCGTTGAAAA